TGAGGCGTATTGTCTTCTCTTCATCGTTCTTCATTGAACAACTTCGAACTTATCAAGTGTTAACTTGTAGCATTCAAACAACCGGATTTAATTTTTGGATTGCGTGATCAATGGGTCTTTCAAGCGTTGCTTTTGTTGGGTTTTTTTTGTTCGACTTTCTTTAGGGTTAATCCTAAACTCTTGGATTAATTTGTCTTTCTTGGGTTCGTCAATCTCGTTGTGAATTTTGTAGTCAACGTTGCTACGGGGTTCGCATCAGTTGGTATCAGAGTTTTGGCTCCAAATTAATTGAAGGTTATATCTTTTCTTTATTTGTTTGAGTCGTTAATTTTGTTTTCTTAGTTCTTCTTCGTTCTTGTTTTTCTTTTCGTCGTTTCGTTGAGTTGTTGGTAGTTTAATCATCTTTTTTCATCAAGGAGTAAAAAAAAAGTACAAAAAAAAAATTGATATTATTATTATTTGAATTTTGTTTTTCTACCAACAACACTTCCTACATTGTGTTTGACTTTGGGATATTCAATTGGGTTCGATTCTTTCAATCTTCTATTGAGTTTATTCACATATTCTTGTCAAAACATTCATCTATTCCATTTATTAAAGTCCTTTGAGTCTTGTGGTCTTCGATTAATATTCGGTTTGTTTGAATTCTCGGTAAAACAATTGATTTAGTTCACTTAGTTCTTTGAAGCGCTTGGAGGGAGACTTTGAGTGATAAAAGGCCGAGTAGTGAGTTTAATAGAGAGAAAAAGCCATAGTGAGTGTTTTCCGAGTGAAATCTTTGTGAGGCATAAAAAAATTGTGTGATATGATGTCGGAAAGAGAAGGTTCCGACTCAAACCGAAACAATAATGACAACAATGCATCGGAGGATATGATAAGGAGGTTTGAAAGGGTACTGGGTGATGTTAGGGAGAAGGTGGATAAGCAAGAGGAATGAATGGTGCAAATAGGTACTACAATTGCTAATCTTAGCCGGGGATAAATGGAGATGTCTAATGTTAGGGGGCCGGGTAGGCCTGAATCTAGGAGAGGAAGGCGAGATGAGTATCATAGTGATGATGATGATTTAGATGAAAATGACTTTGATATGGGTCGAGCGAGGCATAGGGGCGATAGAATGGAAAGACCGGGTAGGAATAACTTGGGAAATGAAGTAGATAAAAATTTGGGGAATATTAAAATGACTATTTCGCAATTTAAGGGGAGAAGCGATCCGGAAGCATATTTAGAGTGGGAAAGGAAGGTTGAGATGATTTTTGAGTGCTATAATTATTCGGAGGAGAAAAAGGTAAAATTGGCGGTGCTTGAATTCGTGGATTACACGATATCTTGGTGGGATCAAGTACTTACATCACGGCGTAGGGGTCGGGAAAGACCAATTAGCACTTGGGATGAATTGAAGGTGTTGATGAGGAGGAGGTTTGATCCGAGTCACTATTATAGGGAAATCCATCAAAAATTGTAAAGTTTGTACCAAGGATCGAAAAGCGTAGAGGATTATCACAAGGAAATGGAAATTCTTATGATTCGAGCTAATGTGGAGGAAGATCGGGAAGATACCATGGCACAGTTCCTGAATGGGTTAAATCGGGATATTGCAAACGTTGTAGAGTTGCAACACTATGTGGAAATCGAGGACATGT